AGAAGCTGAACCACCAAGATGGTTTTATTAAAAGGGGTGTCCTGAAGAAGCAGCAAGAGGCCCCCAAACAGCAGCTTCCCCTCGGCACAGCCACAGCTCGGGGGCTGCTCCCACCCCATCCCTGAAGCACTGGGCAGGGTGGGCCCAGCAGGACCCCCCGTTCTCCCTAGAAGGCACTGTGTGAAGAAGGGCTTGGTGTAGGGCAGCGCTGGGCAGGTGGGCACAGGGGTGCCTGTCCCCTATGTCCCCATCCCCATCACTGCACCATTCCCATTCCAGCCAGGATGAACATTGCAGTGGTGGGGGGAGGAAACACTCAGCACCCCACCCCCCCCATCATCACCCAGCCAAAGCTCCCTGAGACCTGGGGACAGCCACCAAAGGACAGTGGCACAGCGCTGGTCATGGGGCTCCCCTTCCCCAGCAATACCCACCCTGAGTTGGGCCAGTCCCCACAGCTGCGTCCTGCACAGCACAGGAGGACAGACCCAGCAAAGTGACTGCAGCAATTCCAGACAAACAGCAGAAAGTGTGGAGCATCCCATGGGAAGTCACTAGCCCCGACCCAGCAGGGGGTACACCACAAAATAGCCCAGAGTGGAGCCCACGATGGCCCCAAGGAAGATCCAACCATTGTAGGACATCACCGCCAGCATCACCATGTAGCCCAGCACCACCTGCACCACATGGAACAGTGTCTGACCAACATGGTACTCAAACCACCTGTGGAAGAACCATAGAATCACAGAGAGGTTTGGGTTGGAAAGGAGCTTAAGATCATCTAGTTCCAACCCCCAGTAATCACAGAATCAACCAGGTTGGAAAAGACCTTTAAGATCACCAAGTCCAACTGTTCCCCAGCACTGCCAAGGCCACCAACAACCCATGTCATTGAGGGCCTCACCTACATGGTTTGAGAAACCCCATAAGCAAAAGGTTAGGGCAGCTGGAAGCTTCCCCCATAGCCTGACAGTATCCCGGCACATCCAGAGATGGGTTTGGGAAGTGGGGCAAGGGATGGTGGCTGCAAGCAGCAGTGCAGGGGGAAATCCTGCTCCAAAGGATATTGGCAGTAAGAGCATCCTCAGGCATGGTTTGGGACTAAATACAAGAGGCAAAACCCAGGGCTTGGCTCCAAAGGCTTGTGGTGGGAAGGGAAAGCCCGAGTCAGCCTTGCTGGGGTGCCTGAGCTGCTGCTTGTGCCAATTCCCAAAGCACAAGGACCCTCCTGCATGATAGGTCCCAGGGGAATGTGATCCTTTACTAAGCTGAAAACCACCCTGGACATCTCCCATAGGACCCAGAGGGGGCAGCATACCCCCGGGGCCACCTCCTGAGGCTGTCCCACGCCTCCCCTGGGAGCTCAGCACTCCAGGCTGGCTCTTTACAGCCTTCCTCCCTTCCAGGTGGCCACATCCCCATCCCTGAGCCCCCCCACAGCCGGGGGTCCCTGTGGTACCTGCCCTGGGTGGGGCTGGGGGC